GAAAATGGTTGTTAATATTAATGAATATTGACAATCATTATTAAGCTATCTGTCAGTAAGGCCTCTCTCTGATTGGAAGATTGGAGGTTTTGAAGAGTGTGGAACTAGCTCTTAATTGCTGCTGCTCCCAGATCCATTCTGACCCAGAGAAATACCACCTGTGGGCAAATAGTGAACCTCCAAACAAAACAGTATGAAAGTAGAAAAATACATCATGGTAAAAATACTAGCAATACATTTTTATGTTAAAAAAAAAAAGAAATGAGCAATAATACATTTTATCTGTAGTTGAAGCAATAAAATAGTGTTCAAAATATTTAGATTTTTGGCATTAAATGACCCATAGAGGTGTTGATATGACACTAAATTAGATCAACCAACCAACATTCTAACTCAAATAAGTTAGTATATAATTTTTTTCATCTCCATTTGATCATCACAAAATGTATACAAATGTTGACTGACTCTATATGGCTATTATAAACCTCATATTTTGAAACTTAAAACTAACCAGAATTGCACTGATATTTTTTAAATTACAGTTCCTACCATTCCTTACTTTATCTTTTAATTGTAATGATGAAATTTACCATTTCCATACAGGAAATATTAGACATTCATTGATGAACCAAACAGCATAACTGTTAGCTGTAATTTATAAAATCTTTTTATGAAAAAACTTTTTAGGAAAATAGGATTCTTAAGTCCATTAACTGTTATTGCTTTTTCAAGTATTAATAAGCATTTCCTTCCTAACCTTATGTTTAAAGTTGGGTGTAAAATCAGCATAATTATATTATTTTCTCTTCTCTGCTATCCATTTTAGTCTTCCAAGTGATGGGGGGTATTCAATGCTAGGGGTTTGAAATATCATACTTGATATGGATTATGCAAAGGTGAAATTATCTGAAAATAGGATTAAATAGGAAAAAAATGCAGGGGCATATTAAATGATATATAGGTATTTCTTTCACATTTAATCCCATTTTCAGATCATTTCAGATATAATTTACCAAATTTTCATTTTCTGTAAAATATCTGAAGATTTTTAATGTTTTTTTTTTTTTTTTTTTAGGAGGGGGGTTGCTTTTTTTTTTGTTTTTCAATTGACTTATTTAAAATTCTTATTAGTCTAATCCAGTATTTCTCAAATTTGTAGAATAACTAAAACTCTTTTTCACACTTGAAAATTTAATAAGGAAAAAGTAGTCATGAAATTTGAAAATAGGAAAACAATAGATGTCTCCTGAAATAAGCATTTATTTTTAAGACATTGTATATTTAAGTATGCTTGTATGAAACCTCCACTTGATGTGCTTTGGCAAAGATGAAAATTACATTTAATGGTTGTCATTTTTGGTTGAGCATCCCCAAAGAGGATTAGCAGTAGAGTTTTCATTTAAAAGGATTTATGAAGAATCTGATATTTTTTAGAGAGGCCAATAATAACTGATTTAAATCACCTGAGGAAGGTGAAAGGATTATCCACTCCTTAAGTATTAAGAAATTTAGCATCCCATTTAAAATATCAAATGACAAAGTCTTGATTTAGAAATAGAAGCTCTGTGCTTGCTGTTTAGCTTTTTAAAAATAATTTTTTTTTAATATAAAAAATAATTCACAAATTACTCTTCTGTTAAGTTGGGACACACCTGGCTACCCTTTCAGGGTGCACCCAGGCATACCAGTTGAGAAACACTGGTCTAATCTATGTACATGATTATTTTTATTTATTTTTTTTTTCATTTTTCTTTGCATCTTTTATTTACTTTTCCTCTTTCTTTATTGTCCAGAAGAATATTTCTCCAAACATCTTCAGACATTAACAAGAGAGATTTAGTGTAGATTTGTCAACACAAAAGTAAAAGCAGCTTGACATGGTCTATAGAATGTTGTTCATATTTCATAGTCTTTTTGCTTTTCCTGAACCTCTCTTGAATAAAAGTGAGGAATTTGGAAAATCGTTCTTGCACATCTCTATACACGTGATAATGTATGACACTTAAAAATGCAAAATATTTCCATGGTGGTAATAAATGTTTTGCCTATTTACTTTTTCTTTCTTTTCTTTTTTTTCTTCTTTTTTCTTTTCTCTTTTTTGCTTGTCTCTTTTCATCTTGTTTCTTTTCTTTTTTCTTCTTGTTTCTTTTCTTTTTTCTTCTTGTTTCTTTTTTTTTCTTCTTGTTTCTTTTTTCTTCTTGTTTCTTTTTTCTTTTTCTTTTTTTCTTTCTTGTTTCTTTTCTTTCTTGTTTCTTTTCTTTCTTGTTTCTTTTCTTTCTTTCTTTCTTTCTTTTTTTTCTTTTTAATGCTAAGTATAAATTTTTCTAATATTCTACTAATCCATTTTAATGAAAAACATTATTTTCAAATTTTAGGATTTGGTTGGTTGATTTTGTTTAGTTGCATATCAACTCCTTATGGGTCATTTAATGCCAAAATTTAATTTTCTTGGGAGCTTTGAAGTAAATATGTTGTTCTGCTTTCACAACTAGAATACATGGTAGATAATACTCGGATTTTGTTCATATACATGTTTGTGTAAATCCACTTTGGCAGGAAGGGAGACAAGCTTTTGCCACTGCTTAGAACATGTTCATTAAGCTGAAGAGTTGGAGTCTAATATTTTCAGAAATGTGTTAGTCAAGAATGGCAACTTCAATCCTCAGCAGGACCACAAGAGTCATCATTAACAAAGACCCAAATTTTATAAAAATTACAATAAAATTTAGCTAATTTTTTTTTTTTTTTTTTTTTTAAAGTTCAATATTTTGCTTTTTTAATTTTTACTAAATATTTTAAGTGTTATATTTGGCTACTAATAACTATTAATAATAACAAAGTAAAAAAAAAAAAATATTTGTGACAGTCAAACATATTTTCAGGGTGGTTCTGGAACAATGAAAAGTTAGTCTGAAGCCCTGTATACTACTGTCCATGTATTTCCTTACAATCACAGTTTAAAAAAAATATATATTAAAGGAAAAATACTTTTGTTGCTAAGATTTTCATAGAACTTTGTATTTAAAATGTTTTTCTGATTTCTTTCATGTTTTATGTATTTTTATTGCATTTGTTCAATATTTTGTTTGTTTATTCTATACTTTTTACATTTGCAAGACTCTTACATTTTCTGATTATTATTCATGTCTATCTTAATTTTTTTTGTTTTTTTCCCTAACCTTATCTATATTTTGATATTTAAAAGAATTTTCAATCTTTTCAACTTTGTGAGTTGTAAGTGTTACTTACAGTGTGCTGATGTATATTTTTTATTAGACTTATATTTTTAAATGAACAAAAAAGTATTTTGTGAAATATAGTTTCAGTGTAACATATTAGTATTTTTAAGTTGTGATAAAACCTTAAGTTAACTATAGATAAAAATTCCCAAGTAATTTAAATGTCAAATAGATGCTATACAAATTTGAGTCAATTTTTATGTCTTTATTTTCAAATGTCACCGACCCTTGACATCCATCATTCTTTGACAGTAGTGATAATAATTTTTTTTAAATTAATGATTCAGAATTTTTTTTGTTACTTTTATTGATTTTTAAACTTTTGGCAGTGTTAATGTAAAAAATTTGGAAAATATAGAAACATTAATGAAGTTCATATTGAGAAGCAATAAGTTTAATTTTATGTTAAGTGTCAGGTTATATAATTTCCTGTTTGTTGCTTATTTTGTTTAGAAATGCAACCATTTCAAGGAATTATTTTTATTATTTTTTGCTATTTTCTGTTTTTTTTTTTTTCTTTTTTATTCTTGAAAAAGATTGTGTAAAATCTTTTTTAAGTGTACTCAGAATATAAGACCAGGTAAAATCTTGTTTACATTTTATTTTTATTTTTTTAATCAACTTTATTTTATTGTGCAGTTTTTGTTTTTTTTTTCCTTGTCAGACTTTTCCTGCAATGAAGGAAGATTCATCAACTTTGAGAAAAATAAGTGCTAAAACCATGTTATTTCATGTGGCATGTTCTTCCAATAATTTTTTCTTATTTTTCATGTTGAAATCTTCGAAGCCCTCATTTTTACTAACAGCATGTTTAATGTTTAATTTTTAACACTATAGGAATTAATTATGTTTTTATTGTGTATTTTGTAACTAGTCTCACTTTTAGATTGTTAGTTATAATGAAATAGAAAAAAAATTGAATGTTAGGGGCAGCACTCTGCTTAAGGTTAAATTTAATTCTCAATAAAGAAAATGAAAAATTATTAAATGTTAGACAAATTATTTCATATATAATGGAGTTATAAGATTCTTGATTGTTTAAACTTATTTTTCTGTTTTTTTATGTCATGTCCTTTCCAAACAGATGGTCATGGATTTCCACATGCTTCTTTTTATCTGTGGATTTCCATGAATTTTTGCAAAAGATGGAGTATTTTTCCCCATTGCATTTTCCATGATTTTCAGAGTAGTCCTCTTAGACTGGTTGCCATTCGAGACTAAATAGCCCAGTCTACCCTACTATTTAATCTATAACTGGGAACAAGAGATGGATTGATGCCTTTCTAAGTGCATTAATATGGAGGGACTGAAATATCCTAAGCTGGAATTTGAACTCACCAATTTCATTTTTCATGCTGAGAAAGATTACACTATCTACCCACAGTAATTAACCTGGAATATTGAACTTAACCAATTTCCCTCTTGTTAAATTTTTCTGACTATATAACCTTAAAGCAGGGTTTCTTCCTGAATACAAATCATTAGTTTTGTTATTGTTTCATGTCGCACTAGTATCTCGCGTCTTGCAAAGTTTAGACTATTCATGATGTAATCCTAGTATAATCTTTCAATATTAATAAGTATTAAATGATGAAAAGTATTACAATAAAATGTATCACTGATAATTTAATGAAACCTTAAATATGTCTTTTCATTTCAGTTTCATATTTTCTTTTTTCTTTTTTTTTTTTTTCTTTTTTTTGTAATTTTGAATTGCAATCCTATTTCTCATCCTTGTTTTTTCAGATGAAGGATCGTGTAATGAAAACATTGCCGCCGAGATCACCTGATCCTCATGAAAAGCTTCTTATCGAGATACGGTCTCAACCAAAACTTCGCCCTATCAAAGAAGGCAAAGTCTTAGGTAAGTTTTCCTTTTTTTTTTCTTTTTGTCCCTTATTCATTATAAATTCTAGTAACCCCAGCAATTTCGCTATATTCTTTTTAAAAAGGGTCCTTTCCGTCTCAAGATAAATAAAAAAAACCTGACTAATCTACAAAAGAGAACTCTTTTAAAATTCGCAAAAGGCTTAACTTTTCTTTGTCGCCTCTTTTTATACCTAAATCTCTTTTGCAGCCTCTCTATATCATTCCCCCTTACACATACCTCTTCCTCCTCTCTCTATATCATTCCCCCTTATACATACCTCTTCCTCCTCTCTCTATATCATTCCCCCTTACACATACCTCTTCCTCCTCTCTCTATATCATTCCCCCTTATACATACCTCTTCCTCCTCTCTCTATCATGATCCTTTCACTTTTATGCTCACCTTGCCTTGGCTTCTATGTATTTATTTATCTTTTTGTTAATTAGCTGTTGTTGTTACTGATTATTATCATGGGATTTAAGTATATTTTAGAAGCTAAACCAGCTTCTAAAATATACTTAAATCCCATGATTTGAGCTAGAGATTAATAATTTTAACATCAAATGATTGATTATTTTGACACCAATAATGCTTAGATTATGTCAGGTTATTGTCATGACAGTCCAAAATGGCTGTTTTTTCTCAGATTCACTTTAAACATTTTCGTTTCTTTTATATAACACATTTTTTTATATATTATAGAAATTTAATTTGATATCCATATTTAAATATATATTGTCATGCAATGTTTTTCTGTATACTTCATAGACAAGAGAAAATAGCCTGTTGATATGTTTTATTTGGATTTTATTGTAATATAAAATTTATCTAAAATCAATTTACTAAACTTTGTAGTCTGGCAGGAATTTTAACAATTGGTACAATTAAAATCTCCATTGGTATCATTATTTTTTTTAATATTTAATTTGTTTTGACCATCTGTTTTTTAGCTCGCATAATTAATAAAAGCAAAATGGAAAAAAAATTCTAAATATAATAAGGGAAAACTTATGATTTATTTTAAAATTGAGTTGTGTGAAGATCTTTCCTTGGTATAAAAGTTTGACATCTAAACATTTAAGTGAAAGGTTAAGTAAAGCGGTGGGGATGAAAAATGTAAGTAGTTATTAATGATTTTTTTTTTTAGTCTTCTGCAGCAACAACAACATTGTCGTCAGTGTTGTTGAAAACAAAATATTAAGAAAAAAAATAAAATAAATAAAAATTATGAATTTTCGTTGACTACATTGTTCTAAGGGAGATAATATTGTAAGAGTTGTTTCCCTTTATCGCTGCGCTTTTTTTTTTTTTTTTTAAATTAATATTATTATTAACAACAACACATCACTGTATACTTAGCATCTTTATGCCAGGGAAGTTGATCATGCCCCCGGGGTATCCCCCACCCCAGGGAATACCCTCTCCTTCGGGAGGGAACTGAGGTCATTACTCGGCGCTTGAGGAGTTCATAAAAGGAGAAAGTAGTGAGGAGGTTTGTGCAGTTTTTGTACAGCCTTCCAGAAATGCCACATTAAACTCCCAACTTTGTATCACATTTGGTTGTTACTTGAGCACGCAGATAAATATCCACTATATTACTAGAATCAATCGTTATTAATAAAAATAAATAAGTTAGTTTAAAAGTGAATTTACAAACCTTTCTCAATATGAAAAAGTATCTTCTGAATATAACTAAACATAATAACATTTTATTCAATGATGTTCTGAAAATTCCCTTAATAATTCATCACATATATAAGTAGGTACATCCAAACAAAAAAGAAATTGCTCAGATTTAAAATGTATTTAATAAGTTTCAATGCTAAAATTTTGTTTTTATATTTTGTGCATTTTTTTCATTATGCATCCTCATTTTTAGAAAACTTTTGGAGGTACCTACGTGTAAACGAACCTATTTTTTTGTCAAATGGAATAAAACATTTTCATAAATGATCATTTAGATTGATTATCTTTTGTAATTTTTTACTTTTATCTTATTTTTTGTATTCAAGTTGAGACGTCACGGACTAAATTGAATTTAGACGATGATGATGAGAGCCCATTACCTGTAAGAAAAGTAATCAAACCGGACTTTAACCTGATTTTGGATAACAGCTTTGAAGTAAGTTTTGTATTTCTTCTAAACAAATCAACCACAAGTCATTTTCTGAAAGGTGATGTTTTTATTAATTAGTTTGTTTCAATAGAAAAATACTTAGTTCTTTGCCTTCCTTTCTGTTGACTTTGAGAATTTTTTTCAAGCAAAATCGATGCTTTTTATTATTTGTTTCAATGGAAAAGGGATTTGGCAATCAAAAAATGGAACCAATTAGTGTGTTTCAATCTTGTTTATTTTAAATTTGCTCAATGTCAAAAGTATACAACTGAATATCTCAACTGTACAGACTCTGCTATTACTCTCAATATCAAATAACTTCCTATTTGTAGAATTGATATTTACTAAAAGTACTCATGGAAATTCCATAGAGTTACTGTTTTGCATTGAAAGTAATAGTTTTGAAGTCCCCTAACTCCATGAAATGTAAATATGATATTCTTTCATAGTTGTCTCTTCTTGAATTTTATATTTTTGACAACAGGACCAGCAAGGTACAATCCTGGATAATAACACACACACACACACACACACACACACACACATATATATATATATATATATATATATAGGCAATATGTTTGCATTCAAACATGTTTCATTGAATAATAGACTTATGTATATTTTTATAATCAGTTTCTTGATGTTAAGATGAAATTCATCCAGGAAGGAAAAAAATCTACGGCACCTTCCTTGATGAATTTCATCTTAACATTAAGAAACTGATTAGAGAACTGGAAAAAGGATCATTTATAAAAAATATATGGACATAATTCAGTGAAACATATATATATATATATATATATATATATTCATTTAAATACCAGTCATAGTTGTGAAACTAATTATTTCTTAAATTATTTCTAAGCATATTAAATACTTAACATTTTTAAAGTAGTGTTTCAAGTATTTGATCCACCTGAAGAGGTAAACAAACCATGTAATGCAAGCTATGAAATACCACATTAGTTGGTTTTGTCAAAAGTTACTTTTCATTTTAAAATTGATTTAATTATGAACATCTATACATATCTTGAAGAAGAGATTGTTATATATAGTTTATTCATAGTGTTAAAAGGTGTTGATGCTTTAAACAGGAAAATCTTGCAAAGTTAAGTAATTTTCTTGCTTAATTGGAAATATAGAGACCCATTTCTGTGATACTGTGAAGTATATAAGATCATGATACTAAAATACATTTTTTTTTTACTCCATTTCATTACCTGAATACTATAATAATAGCAAAGTGTAACTCTTATTTGAACTAAGGAACCAACAGAGATAGGACAGGGTTTTGCTCTTTGAATTTTTTGATGAATCTTAATTCTTAAGTTTAAGTTGATTGAATAAGCTCATGAAGAGTTCTAATTCATCATTAAATATTTGAGCTTAACAACTTTAACAAAATATTTCAATAAAAAATCATGAAAAAATGTCAGAAGTCATATATAGTCAGGCACATAATGTTGGAATGTTGAAGATTCTGGAAAATCTGAAACAAATATTACAGAACAAACAATTTTAGAGAACTTTTTGAAAGCATTAAACCAGATAACATACTTCAATTTGTCAAAAAGATTGTTTCAGCCATACCTGATGAACAAAACTTCTTCTCTACCATACTTGGGAAAATTTTTCCTTCAATCAGAACTAACAAACTATAACATTTTCTTTCAACCATAACTGAAGAACTATAAAACTTACTCTCATCCATACTTGACAAACTATAAAAAATGTTTGCAATTTGGCTCTAATTTTGAGGTGGGGGGGGGGGTCGTTAAACACGATCAATCATGAAAAATTTAACTAAAGGGAGATTACTCTGTAAAAAAGTGAAATGCTAACATTTAAAATTATCTTTATTTGTATTCAACTAAACCATAAACAGGAGAAATTTTGTCTGAAAGGATTTTTTAAAATATTTATAATTGAAAAAAATATCAATTTTGTGATAAAATGTGGAAATGTCTTTCATATAAAAAGAAATTAAATAATTTTTGCATCAAATTTATATCTAATTTTAAAAAAGCTTTCAATGTTAATGATTTGTTTCAGCTTTTGAAACAAACTGGAACCTACATAAATTGGATCATTATTATCAAACTAAGGATGAATATAGATCCATTATTATCAAACTAAGGATGAATATAGATCCATTATTATCAAACTAAGGATGAATATAGATCCATTATTATCAAACTAAGGATGAATATAGATCCATTATTATCAAACTAAGGATGAATATAGATCCATTATTATCAAACTAAGGATGAATATAGATCCATTATTATTACTATTATTATTAAATAAAGTTGCAAATTGAATTGAAAATTGCTTCATTCTTCAAATTAGTTTCTTAACAGTATTTTTCTTAGAAAAATCTTGATTATCCTGTTTTAAGATAACAAGCATGACCCATGCAGAAATTTGATCCTTGTAATCTAATAGGGGCCCAGTAAAAAAAGCTATAAATTCAGAAAGAAATTTATTTAGCTATCATGATTCATGCACAAACTTGAACAATCATTTTAGATGTTTGAAATGTTTGCCTGAATGTTCAACACAAAGTTGTAAGCTTAGTAACCAGGAGGCAGTCACTTTGCAGATAGTGTTGAGGAATATAATTCCTAGCTTCAGTTAAGTTCCACTTCAATGAATCAATATTGATGATGTCACGACAGCAGTTTTGCAAGTGAGTTAAGGGTATACTTCGGATACAGTAATCCATAACATTCATGTCTAGGCTTTTAGAGGGCCACTGAGATGGACCGATTAGAGCTAGTGTATTTTCTTGAAGAATAAATTTTCTGCTTTTTTTATTGGAAACCCTGTAGATGTCTATTAACACGTAAATTTGATTTTGAACCTGTAAAATAGAAATGGAAGGTTTCATTAGATAATGGGATAATTGTTGTTATTTTACAAAACCAATGGATAAAGTTCCAATAACAAAAAACTAGAAGGAAGACTACTGTTACAATCATAAAATAGTTTGCCAATATTTTTGAAGTGTCATTTGTTTTTTGTTTTTTAATAGAGTGGATATTTGCTTGCTCTGTAAAAAGCTTATGATGCCTCAAAAATCTATTTGAAGTAACAGTGTTTTGATAAAATCTGTTTCAATTTTATTTAAAGAGTTCATTTGAACTTTTATTGTATTTTCCAACATTTGAATGGTTTGCTCTTACTTCCTTCAGGTGAATTTATCTGTTCATCTTGTAAAGCTTTTTTTTTTCAATTCTGAAGGAAGTAGCCAAACTAACCAGATAAAATTTGTTAAAAATGAACTATTTCAATAGAAAAATTAACAACAGAAAATATTTTAATGTCAGTATTATGTTTTATAACAAATTCTCAAGCAATTTCAAGCTGTAAAACATCACTTTTAATTGGTTTATGAAAATATATTCATTTTTATTTTGTCTCCTAAAACTCTGTCAAGATGAAAACCATACTCCTCAAGATATTAAAGTTGACGACTTCCTCTGTTGAAACAAAATATCATATGACTTAATATCAGATGCTACTAAAAATGATGAATGGTGACATATTCAAATTTATTTATTTTTATTTTTTTTTATAAGTTGTTTTTCTTTTGTTCCTCTTAAAGATATTTTCTATACTTTGTATGAAAAGTAATTTGAAGTAAACTCTGCTTTATCCAATTAACTTTGCCTCTTTGTGCACACATTCACACACACACATACACATATATATAAACTATCAATTAATTTTTGTTTTAAGCATCAGACACTGAAACTCTTACTATTTAATCTTCCTTGGGCTTGACTCACTTTGAATGAGTTCAGATTTTTTTCAGATAAACTTTATATTAATCTCTGTATTTCTTAGATATGCTCCATCAAATAAATTGCCAGAAAGTAATTTTCTGTTTATTAGTGGAGAAGGAATTTTTATGCTTTGTAACAAGACATATAGTTTATAATAAAATCCTGAATTTTTTCTTAATTGCTTCAGAAAAATATGGAATCTGTTTATATTTCAATGTTTGTTTGTTTGAAGGCTGAAGATGATGATTCTTCCAGCCGTGATGGAACTGATGATGAACGTAAGGAATCCTACAAGAGACCTGGTATGATTTTATTGCTTTATCTACTTTATAAGTATTTGATTGTATTATTGTTATACAAAATTACTAGTGTCTTAAATCTCCACTCTGTACTATGATACATCAGTAAATTGGTAATCTGATGTTGAAAAAAAAAAGATGTTTTAGATGATCCCCCCCCAATATAAGCTTAATTGTCAATGCACTTATTCAGTGGAGAATGAGGTTATGGCCACATCACATTGAAACATCAGTTCTTGTACAATCACCAAAGTTAAGCAACATAGAGCCTAGTCAGTACCAAGATGGGTGACAACTTGGGAATACCAGCTGCTGTAAACTTGAATGTGTAGGTGGTGTAATGGATAAGAGTTCCAATTCTCATTGTTTTTTTTTATATTCACTTATGAACAAATATCCTTGGGAAAGGTATGTATCTACCTGTTCTTCCCCCAGCTATGGGTTAATTAATAAGACTTGTATCACTAAACCATTTTTATCTCTAAAAAAACAAATTCTTAAAATCTAAAAATATTTTCTGGCTTTAAATAACCTGCAAATGTTTGATAAGCCATAGAAAACAAATCAATCAATAAGTGTAGAATCTTAAAGATTAACAGGGTGAATGATACTTTTTCAGAAAGAATATTAGTAAAGTGTTCCTAGTTCACACTGGTATAGGTTTACTTGACAACTATTGAGCCACTTCAGGGATTAGGAATTGACAGTCACCTTTCCCATCTTAGTACAATAGGGAGAGGTCAAGGATAACCTCGTGGAACTGAGTTTATGAAAAGGCAGCTCAAACTGAGAGGAAGAGTCCATTTGTAGAAAAAGGAAATAGTTTTCAATTTAAAAGGTTCCATAATACTATCACCATAATAAATATTAGCTATGTAAACTGAACAATATACAGTGACAATTTCATGGCAAAAATTAGTTAATAATTGTGTGTTGGGCTACAGGTTTATTGATCCAGCCTAATTTAATGAATTTAAAAATATATGCTAACTGCCTGTTTAATGAATATCAATGCTTTCCTGTATGGAACCAAAGTTGAAAGCCACATGATATCAAAGGGAAGTAAGCCGTTTTACAAAATCATGAAATTTATGTAACCACAAATTAATCTTATGTAGCTCTGAGGTGCTGGTGCCTCCAGGGATTTTACTTGCATGATTTTCGGTATAATTCTTTATTATACCCAATGATCCTAACACAACAGGGATAATCATAGTTTTTATGGTTACACATTTTTGTTATTTCAATTTGCAGGCCCTTATATTTTGACAGATTTTAAAGTTTTATTTTGGAAAATTTGTAATCCTGTGAGCAAGGCATATTGATTTGTTGGCAGGTTTTTTTTTGTTTTTTTTTTTTTAAATCTTTTATAACTATGCTTAGATGACTTTCATCAATTTTTTCTGTCTGTTATTATTATTACTAATTTAAAAAAAAAAATACCCCAAGCAAGTTGGGAATGCCACTAGTACGCATTGGGTTACCGGGAGGGAAAGTGAAAAAGAAAACTGAGAATAGGTTGCATTGAGGAAAGGAAAAAAGATGATTGGTGTTGGGGGGAGGGGTTTTCAAGAAAATAGAAGATGGTCATTGACATTGCATTTAAATTTTTGATGATTTTATGTATAGAACCATGTTGAAAAATCCTGTTGTGTATTCTGTTTAAAAAGATTTATGAATCTTGACATATTCACATTTAACATTAATTCTTTGTCTTGCATCTGCAGCAAATCGTGAGAACTCTACAGACAGAAATGCCAAGCTAGTACGGAGACATACAATCATGGTGTGTGAGTCCCCCACAGAAGCAAAGGTAGTCAACCTGCCTGGCCCCGACTCTCTTCACACTGTTAGTGAAGTAGAGGAGCTTTTCAACAGCATCATGGAAGTAAAAAATAATAACAGTAAAGAGAACCTGTCAAAGATGGACAATGATTCCCCAACCACTCCTACTACTATCACCCCCACTCCTCCTCCTGCTGCTGCCGCTGCTGCTGCTGCTGCTGCAAGTGGTGAAAAAGCTAACACGCAAGATTTGAACGCATCCAAATTAATGCATGTAAGTTGGAAAAATACCTGTCCTCGTTCCCAAGAGCACCAAACCCGTTCATCCTGCAAAGATTGTCGTCCTTTGTCTGTAAGTACTAACCCTAACCTACCTGAACTCTTATGTATTTATGGACATAGATATTTTGCCTGTAAATAAAATATACATTACTAATGCTATTAACCCTTAATCACAGGTTGCGAATCCCTTATATAATCCGCTTGCAATTAAACAGGTTTTAAGTTTCAATATTTTTTAAAAATTTTACAATTAGTTTTAACAAGTTTTTTTTCTTTTTAATTTCTATTAAATTACAAATGGCATTTATTATATGTTTACACTTTTGGGTCAGTTTCATTTGCCAATTTTAATGTTACTTTTAACTCTCCAAATCGGTGGTTCCCAAATTTTTTTCTATGGGTTGCATTTTCAGATAGAAAATTTGCTCATGCTTCACCAAAGGGAAGTCCTGGTGAAAAGGCACAAGCTGCCCTATGGCAAAGAAGGTACAGAGAGAAGGTTAAAGGGAGATAACTGCTGATTTGAAATCAGAACATTATCATTGATAACTCTCTTTTACAATTTGCAGAGCCCAGTTACTATATTCTTAATACTTGATATAATGCAAAAATATCAGAGTGATAAAATCAGTCAATAATTATTTGTAACTATTTATACTGGGAGTCATGCATGCAATTACAAGTAATCCATAATAATATTTTAAATTTTGAAATCATATTTATTTTTGGCATAGGAATTTTTTGAAACAGTTTCTAAATCTTTGTCTTTCAATCATTCCACATCACCTATTATCTTCTTCCGCCACACCTATGAGGTGCACCATACCATTTGGGAACCACTGCTCTAAAGAAAAGCTCTCAACATTTTATTTGTTATTCTCATAAATACTTAATTCAAATGTTTCCTTTCCTTGAATTTTAAAGCTTTAATAATGTTCTTTACAAATATCTACATAAAATTTACTATATTTATGTTCTCAATATCAGAGATCGGGCATTTATAGATACAGTGTTGAATCAACAGTGTTGACTTTTGGTTCCATGCTCCAATGTGAAACTTGTAGTCTGCTCTCTCTAATATATATAATTAAAAATTGAACCTTTAGGGATATTCAGAGCATTTCTCATAAACTGAGATGTATGAATGGCTTGTTTCATGGCCTGAAATATTTTTTCTATGAGGAAAGATAAAACATTTTTAAAGAAAGATGGCTTAAAAAAATCCCAGCATACATCTGTGTGGTTTAAAAATGGGAGGAGGAGAGTATCTTTCAATCATTCCTACCAATTGAAAAAACAGGTTGACTAAGTTTTTGATAAAACAAGAATATTTAAAATACTGTTTCTTTTATTTTAACAAGTCTAGTTGTCAATTACAAGCGTAAATTTGACTTACGGATTGGTATTTTTCTCTATTCACATTTTTATTTATTTAAAATCTTGTTTTAATAAGAGACACCTATTGCTTTAGCAAAATGTCACAACTCCCAAATTTATCTCTTTCTAGATGAACCAGTCAGATCTAACCTACCAAACAAGTGTTTATTTATAACAGTCTAGTAATATAAATGACCTTAGAGGTGTATATGTGATTACATCAGCCTAAGGAACATGGTGGTATTCAAAAGTAACAATGTATTTTGTAATTTTTCATCAATAGATGATCCAATTTTGATTAAAATAACAGGCATGAGTTGAAAAATTTGAAGGAGGCCTTGCAGGTCATTTTTGACGGATAAGTTTGAAGTGGAAGAAATCAATGAATTCAACTCAGATGATAACCAACACCTTATTTTTTTTTTTTTTTTTTTTTTTTATAGTTTATATACAGGAAGCAGCAGAAATACCTCCCACATCTAAGATATATCTTAACGCATCATCTAAGATATATCTTAAAGCATTAGAAAGTTAAGCTACTGGTTTTGTTTATTTTTTGGCTATCAGGTGTTCAAATGTGAAAGGCACAATTCCGCAGGATCTATTGATTATTACTTTCAGGTGAGCAAAATGTTACTTTAGCACCAAAATATTAAGTGGGTTTTTTTGGAAATCTTCTTCTCTACTTTTCAGTATTCTTCTTCTTTGGTTCATTTTTAATTCAACTCAAGAAACGGTCATCCTATCCTGTAACTGCTGCTTCCATATTGCTTGAGCCATTATACAGCATGCGATGGATAAATTGTCGTCTAAATTATGCAAAAAAAAAAAAAAAAAAAAAGGAAATAACACTGACATCTCATTTTGACAGATATATTTACCAAAACTAAACAAACATATCTTTCTAATATTAAAGAGTAAATTTATTCAATAAAATTGCAATTGGCTTGGACCGTGTCCTCCAAATGACTTCGGAATCTCCTTCAACTCTTCTGGACAGTCTCCTTGTTTAATTTGGTGAATGCTGCCATAATCCTTGCCTTCAATTCATCTTTGGAGTTATAAGGAGTTTTGTTGGTCTCTCGCTCAACTACACTCCACACATAATAATCAAGAGAGTTGCAGTCTGGTGAGTTAGATGGCCAGAAGAATGATGTGGTTGCAGAAATTGCTTGAGAGCCATGACTGGGTTCTCCTGCTTGTGTGGCATGATACAGAGTCCTGTTGCCAGCAGCCACCCTCTTCAACCAGGGCAGCACTACCTCTTCAAGGCACTTGATATAGGCTTCCATGTTGAGTCTGAGGCCCTTACCAATGAATTTGTGAGTTCTTATCAGAACAGAGTGAGTTTTCTGAGTTGCCATTTCTTTGTATTAGACTCATCCAACTCTTCTGAATCGTCTGCACTATCCTCATATTGACATCTAAATACTCTGAAATGTTTGTACTGGAGCTTTCTCTGTGAATACTCGGCAATACAGCATGCCTTTTCCAAATTTCTGATGGAGTAAATTGCATCATGGTGCTCTTTTTCTAACAGATGGTTCCCAACTGACCCTACTATATTGTGCAGTCGACAAAATCAGGAACAAACAATATGCATGCACAAAATTAAAAATATAGAATGGTGACAATTTACCCATCGCACCATGTATATTAAAGAATCCATTACAAATATAGACCATCATATAAAAGCAAAAGTTACAAGAAATAAGCTGCAATATGAAAGAAATGGTTACAAGGTTTTGATTATGATATGAAAGCAAAGGTGGTTTTTTTTTTTTTTTTGCCCTAACCCCCCCCCCCACATTTAGTCATACTATTGTGAAGTTTTTTATTTAATTTTTTTAACCTGAAATTATATATTCTATGTGCCATATCTCTTCAGGTTATCATGTCTCTCCACAATTTCCTGTCCTTTGTAGCTCTTAATAAATTTTGTCTTTGTTATCACTGGTCATTCATATATTCAAGCTTGCTAGGTAGGTTATGCATTATTTTCCTCTTTCCCACTTGCCTTCAGTCTGTCCTGTGAGTATCACATTTTCTAAACCCTCTTTCTTCATTATGTGACCTAAAAATTTCAACTATCTCTTCCTGATGCTAATTATGTCCTTTTTGTTTCCATTTTCTCTAAAATTTCATAGTTGCTCAATGTTTAGTTTATCTCAGCATCCTTCTGTAGAACCATACTTCTGTTACTTCAAGTCTCTTCTTCTATGAGGAGATTGCCCAGCATCACACATAGGAGGGCTGATATTACATAACAGTGCAGGGCTCTTTTCTTTGTTTCTAATGAAATTTTTAGCATTACATATATTGTTTGAAAGTCAAATCCACATTAGAACACAGAAAGTCATGTCAGCAACATGTAATAATGTGTAATATATTTTATATGCATTCAAGAATATGGGGTGGGAGAATAGAATTTTTCTTTTTTTTTTTTAAGGGATAGTTGTTTTTGCTTAATATAAATAGCTCCAATAATCTTTGTAATATTTTGTAATTACAAATCAGTAATGCCTAACAAAGTTAATAACAAAATGAATAGAATTTAATACATTTAAAGGCAAAATTTTGTAAAGAAAGTGCTTGATAAAAAAATAACTAGGGCAACAATAGTTAATAGATGAAGAAAAGTTCAAAGGACTTTGCAAGTAACTTTGTTTCATGCATAAACTGCTTGCCAATGTATAAATAATGAATAAATGCTTATCTGACCCTGACAAGCAGTTTATATGCAAAACTTAGTTGTAAAGATAAATTCTTTGAACTTTCCTTCATCTATTAACTAAAATATTTTGCATAATGAAATAAAAAAAAAATTTATAAGGCAAACTCAAAGCATTTGCTTAAAATATGTGCTTGAAGAATACAACTTTGATTGGTAGATTTTTTTTTTTAAAGTTGCATCAAAACAGCTGACAATGCAAAATAAGAATTCTGGTAGACTTGACCACAAAAATCCCCAAAGACAAAAACACCCTCATGTTTTCTATTAAAAATATCTTTTCTTTCACTGGCTGAGTTTCTTATTTAATTGTAATTATTTTCTTAACAATTTTATAAAATGTTACAGCCATCTCGACACTTTTGAACTCCCTCAAGACTGGAAAGTGGTGACTGGTCATCTCCAATCCAGATATGGCAGAAGTGTTCCATTTTTGGTCTGATCTGGTTCTCGTAAAGGTAAAGCATAGCAGGAATTAAGTACTTACTGGAGTGGTACAGGGAACCCACCATTTATTCGGTGATGATAAAATGATACTAGTTTAGTTTTTGAGGTATTGATTGGTATAAGCCAGTGTTAGAGCAAGGTCAACTGGATCTGATCAGGATTTTTACTATCACAATGGCTATTAATAATAAAATTATATTTTTGGGAACTTTTTCAAAGATACTAAAATTGTGACTTTGATAACCACTTGGATCATGGGATGTTTAAATCTGAAGGGATTCTCAACTTGTACAAATCTTTTTTTCCTCCTTTGGCATTAACACATTGTCTTTAAATTCTCTGTCTGTAAACACAAATAACCTCTGTTCTTATGTTTGCTTTTTGCATCTGAAACACGCTTTCTCTGTTGGTAAACTTGCTCCATGGTAATTTGACTTGTTTTTGCATTTTTCTCTTCACAACTCACACGTTCATTTTGTTGTGACTTTCTAACTCGCTGAAATTATTTTGACTTT